ATGGTGGTGATTTATAACAACAATGAATCCCATACAGCGCCATATTGGATTCAAAGAAGGTTTACACATCTTCCCATAGACCTCTGAATCCAATATGGCGTTGTGAAGGATTCATTATTGTTTTTATAAACCACCCCCCTGAGAATTAATGAGAAAATGAGGATTTTTGTTGAAAATAATTGGTTCAATATTGGAGCTTAAGTAATTTGTGAATCCTGCAGTGTATGTTTTCGGTATAATAGTTATTTCAACTGAATTACTGTGTTTTTCAGCACTTGGTATATATTGTATACGTTACTACCGGGTACATGGCAGAGATTGTCACAAGTCACAAGCTCTCTATCTCCACCATAGTTACACATGATACAAACTGTAACTATTCCCAATTAGATTTTGGTAAAATAGTGGCACTGTTCTCTCTGTCTGAACTTTGCTTACTTTCTCTGAGCTCAATCCTTAAAATGTATTTCTGTTCAAAAATGAATAAACTTTTCACTGAAAGGATGATTAAGTGAAAATAAAATCAAATAAATATTTCTTTTTTTCTATTTTTTACATTCAACTTGCCAAAAATCAGTGAAAATAAAGTCCATACAAAATGTCCAAAAAGTCTTTTAAGTGAAAATTAATTCCAGCTAAAGTATAAGTATCATTGAATCAGTTCTGTTGTCGTCTGACCGACGGTCACACATTAAATGACATACGAACTTGTGTTACTGTAACCATAGCAACTGTAACCATAACATTTCCAATTCTTATCACATTGTATCATTCCTAGGATAAGTCATTAGTACTTAGAGCACGAGAATATGAAAGAGCAGACAACATAATAGAAATGATTCGGAACGAATTTCCACGATCTGAACTATGGACCAAACACAAGCCACCAGATCTAGATATACTCCAGTCTTCATGTCAGTGTATCCTTCAATGTCACACTAATAAAGCTGAAGTTCAATCTAGTGTGTACACAACAACTCTCTGTGCGTCCGTCTGTCTGTCCGTTTGTCCGTCTGTCCATTTGTCTGGTTGTCGATCTGTTTGTCCATCCATCCATCAGCTTGTCCATCTGTCTGTTCGTCTTTCCACCCATCTGTTCGTTCGTCCATTAGTCTGTTCGTCCATCCATCCATCTTACTTTCTGTTCATCTGACTGTCCATCCTTCATTCTGTTAAATTATTAATTTCCAGTGGTTGAAGGCAAAATTAAAACAAACTCCACAATGTTCTTAGGAATAGTACAAGATGGCAAAATAAGATTGATATGAAGATAGTGATTTTACTTATAAATTTATTTTGACTCCCACTGTAACTTATTTTTGCCATTTGTTTATATATTTTCTGAATAATCTATATTTTATACAGTTTGGGAATAGTTGTCTGTGTAGGAATTTGTCTGCTCCATGTGTTGTCATGGTGATATAATGTGTTGTAAGTTCAATTGCTTAACAGTGATCCCCCCAGATATTGAAGTACGTAAGGTGAACCCAATACCAAATGAACCTGAACTATTCCGAAACCAAACTGTACCTGATAAAATAATGAGATATTATGAAATCAATGATGTTAGGAAGTTTTATGCTGACAGACCATTCCACAAAGGAGAGAAGGATCCAAACAATGAACTGAAGGTAGTTAATGCAATATGAGACTTTTGTGGTTTTACATGATATTGCTTTAGATACTCAAAATTACGTGGTACTTATGTGCGATTCCCTAAAGGTCACACATCCTGGTACTTATGTGTGATTCCCTAAAGGTCACACATCCTGGTACTTATGTGTGATTCCCTAAAGGTCACACATCCTGGTATTAATAAGCATGGAAATATCCCCCAAAATACTTTCGTGTTTGTCGAATCCCACGCGATGTTTGATGCCACTACGACGCTGTGACCTTTGTTTGTTCTGTGTTTACATTTGAATCCACGCATAACGCATGATTCTCGTAGTGAACGGAAAGTGGTCAGTTGTGTTATTTTCATTCTATTACAGAGTATGTGGTTGGAAAGGACTACTATTACAACATCTAATAGTCTACCTGGAATACTAAGATGGTTTGAAGTGATTGATAAGACAACGGTAAGTGCTAAAATTGTCGTTGAGAAGAATTTTCGCTGGCAGCCATTATCGGATGTGCTAATGGTTTCGGTGATGAAAAAATTTGTATGATGTACAAAGTGATATGATATTATTGTAAAAGCATTAATTTTCACCGGTATTTAATTTCGGTATTTTGAGCATATTCCCTAATGTGTTCAATTGTAATTTCACATTTTGCCAGTGAGAATAGCGAAATTAACGTAGAGGGTACGTCACATGCGCACACATGGGAATTAAGTCTTAAGTGACAATAACAACACAGGCTTAATACACAAAGGCTCATGGGTAGACGCAGATTTGTAAACAACAACATTATGCCCGTCTGGTGCATACACAGGTGCTGAAACTGTTACTTTAAAACCCATTGAATAATAAATAACAATAATTAATAGGATATGAAGAATGAAAATTTAAGATTTCTATCTTTGCTACAAAACAGTTTTAATGAAATAATACTCTGGTGAGATACTACTTAATCTCGTGTCAAATCAATGCTCTGTGTTGTTTCTGGTGAAATTGCATTGTTACAAATCCTTACATGTGTTTTCTAGGTTGAAATTAGTCCCATTGAGAATGCTTTGGAGACAATGAATAGAAAGAACAAGGAGTTAAGGAGCATCATAGCTACATACAGCTCAGAAGAATTCAAGAATATAAGCCCCTTAAGTATGAGTTTAAATGGTGTCATTGATGCTGCAGTCATGGGTGGTATAGCAAAATATCAAGAGGTATGATTGCTTTATTGCTAGTATTATAAGAATAAGTTTGAATATTAGTATATATGGGATTTATACCATAGCAGTATATTCTGGTCATGAAATGTATATATATTCCAGATTGATGTGTATGATATTTATACCGCAGTAGTACCGTAGTTGTCCGGGTAAGCGCCCAGGGTCCTGAACATGGAAAATTGGTAAAAAATAGGGGTGGGCATATGCCTGACATCTCCTGCAAAAAAATTTGCGAAAATTGACATCACGCAGACCGAACTGTGGCAGGAAATAGAGTGGCAAATGAAAACATGCAACGGAAATAAATGAACAATATGCAACATTAGAAGTGAAACAAAAATAATTTATTGCTTTTAATGTGACAAATAAATCAGAAATAATAAAAATCGACAGTGAGGAATCATTTTCTCCACTGCAAACACACCCAATACATGTGAACTCAAAATGAACTACCGGTAAAATGTAAACTGCATACAGTCATACACGAACAATAAATAATTTACAAATTCACACAGTAAAAATTATGACAGTTCATAGGTGTTTGACTTCTCAGATCTCCATTTGCATGTTCATTGCCATCTTCGTCAAAACCCTCAAAGTCCAAGTCTGCGTGACACCATCACCATCCAACAAAATCCCTACAGCTTTGTCCTGATGTCGCACACAATTTGTCAGCTTGGCATGTCTTATCTCAATAAAGAGACACGAAAAATGGGTTCGCATGCAAACGACTCTGCTCTCTCATCTTTGACCTTTAAGCATCTGTTTTACTGATTGGCTAAGAATCACATCACTACTCGTGTTTCATCATAGATGTCAAGTCGACATTGGTTTCATTGTCGACGATGCGAAAGCCGAAAGAGTGCGCCATTTGCTTGAATCATTTCTAAGGAAACACAAACCAAAAGTTCCTTTTCAGGGCCACTACATATTTCAAAAAGAGAACTACCATTTCTGCTTTAATATACATTCTGTAGACTTGCTGACTGTTATGATTCTGATAAAAAATCTTAAAACATAAATGTAAATTACGTAAACATCGGTGCCCTGAGGGCAGAACATGAAATTACCTATTTCGCATTTACCCATCGTTTTACGCAATTGATGTTTATTTTTAGCTTCACTGCTGACTTTGTCGAGCGGAGCTTATCAAATATTAAAGTGATTGTCCGTCGTCCGTGTCAACTTTCCAATTTCAACTTCTTCTTTGAAACCGCAAGTCAGAATGTTTTCAAATTTGATATGCAAGTACCTTGGATGGTTCTTTCTCAGATTTGTTCATTTCATGTCAAAATTTCAAATTCTCTTTTTAGCTCCGCTATCGACTTTGTCAAGCGGAGTTTATCATATGAGTGATTGTCCGGCGTCGGTCGTCCGTGTCAATGTTTTATATTTTTGACTTCTTCTTGAAAACTACAAGCCTGAATGCTTTGATACTTGGTGTATATGTGCCTTGGGTAGACCTCTCTTAGGTTTCTTCATTTCATGTTGATATCTTCAATTCTCTAATTTTGGTGAATATTTTTGTCATTTTTGGTAAAAAGTGATATTTTTGACTTTTTGTTAAAAACCGCAAGTCCAATTGCTTTGATATTACATATATAGGTACTACATATGGACCACTTACAGATTTGTTCATTTCATGATGATATCTTCAATTCTCTAATTTTGGTGAATATTTTTGTCATTTTTGGTAAAAAGTGATATTTTCGACTTCTTGTTGAAAACCACAAGTCCGATTGTTTTTATATTACATATATAGGTACTACATGTGGACCTCTCTCAGATTTGTTAATTCCGTGGTGATATCTTCAATTTTCTAATTGTGATGATTATTTTTGTCATTTTTGGTGAAAAGTGATATTTTTAAATTCTTGTTGAAAACAGCAAGTCCCATTGCTTTGATACTATACATATTGTTCATTTTCTAATTATATCTTCTGTTCTTTAATTGAAATATGCATTGCTACCAGCGGAGCTATCACAGCCGACTGGCTGCTTGTTTTGGTGAATATTCGTCATTTTTGGTAAAAAGTGATATTTTCTACTTCTTGTTCAGGTAGACCTCTCTCAGATTCGTTCATTTCATGATGATATCTTTAAATTATTTAATTTTGATGAATAATTTTGTCATTTTTGGTAAAAAGTAATATTTTTGAATTCTCCAATTGCTTTGATACTATACATATTGTTCATTTTCTAATGATATCTTCAGTTCTTTAATTGAAATGTGCATTGCTAACAGCGGAACTATCTTTGTGGATTGGTGTGTATGATATTTATACCATTATAGTACTTAGTGGATTGGTGTGTATGATATTTATACCTTTATAGTTTATTGTGGATTATTGTGTATGATACTTATACCATTATAGTACTTTGTAGATTGGTGTGTATGATATTTATACCATTATAGTACTTTGTGCATTGGTGTGTATGATATTTATACCATTATAGTACTTTGTGCATTGGTGTGTATGATATTTATACCATTAGTACTTTGTGGATTGCTTTTTAAGTAATAACCTGAATGTTTGTGTTTTCAGGCATACTTCATACCGGAGTACATCATATCACATCCACAAGATGCTGAAAAGATAGAGAATCTCAAGAAATATATTTTAGAACAAGTAAGGAAACGTATACTAGCTGAGTTACTGCTATATCATAATGAATGGCAACAAATACAGCTAGCCTATCATATTTGTTTATAGTCTACCTATAGCTACAGACCATTATGGGAGTACTAGCTTAGTAACAATCAGCAACACCAATACATTGTACAAATGAATTTGTATGAACGGACACGCAGTATCCTCGGGGGCGGACATCTGGGCATTTTCTACCGCCTGGTAACCCTCGCGGTGAAAACAAAGACCAAAAACTCGCAGAAAACGGTACTTTGCGATGGTTGTTGAGAGTCCCCTGAACAGTGTAACAAGATTAGCCCTACGTGTGTAACATATATATGAATTTGGTTGTTCAGGATTACTTCAAAGTTGAGTTTGTGTTGTTTTCTCGAGTTTTCACCGGCTCCACCGGCGTTCCACAGCAGCGCGCACAAAGCCCATAGAAATACGTGGTATAGTGGTGCGCGTCTTAGCAACGTAGAACGTATGTGACGTAGCTCCGCCCCTGAGGATAACAGAAAATAAAGACATCCCACCAAAAAATATTGCTCTGTTCTTGTGTTCACTGGGAATGATAAATTCAAAATACTAAGAATGTGTGTGGTGGTAATTTATCAGAGAAAAAAATGTTACACATACAGGCTACATGCTGAGTGTAATTAGTCCCCGATTGGACGCAGTTTGAAAACAAGGACTTATGGATTAGACTCCGAGCAGTCTGCCTTGGACATGCCTCGGCCAATCACATTTAAACTTCACAGATACGTCTTATATTTTGGAATACATGCACTAATTAATTTCATGATCAGATTCCAGGTAGCTGAATGGCAGCCATTGTAACTGTTAAAAATTCATAAAAATTGAGAATTTCTGCCATTCCAGAACCAGGACTCAGTCATGCAATGATGGTTTTTGTTTAGGCTTGTACATTGAACATTATAGGACCTTGATGACGTCACTAGATCAGATTCAAAATGGCCGACTGGTGGCTATTTTGTTTTAATAAATATGGTGTGTGCTGTGTCTATTCCATACCTTGACTGATCATTTTCAAACTGTTATAGATACATCATACATCATGTCACACATATGTTTGTTTGACTGTCAGACTAAAGATGGAGAAATGGCAGTCATTTTGAATGTCATCAAAATCAAGCATTCATAATTATACATCATATCATTTGATTCATGTTCGGATTCAAAATGGCTGACTTATTTCAATTTTGTTTACTGTATAATCAGCGGCGACTCATGTCATAATATTACTTGTTGTGTTTTTTAGTTGGAGGTGTTGGAATGCGGTTTAAGGTTACATGGTGAATTGGCGCCGCCAGATGTGAAACCATTACATGCCAAATTAGAAAAGATGTTTGCATCCATGAAAGCTAGTATTTCCTCACAGGTAATCAGTTCCCTTAGAGCAGAGTTCTCTGAGTCTATTTGAGACCTATCTCTTCAGAGGTTCTCACAAAACGAACATTTCTGGGAAATGCTACAACTACAGCAAATACTGTTTCAAAAATTGTATAATTCATTAGTTACTTGTTATAACTCATAGTACCCCAGTTACACACTGAGCCCCACTTTATGCACTGTTGTTTCAATGTCATGTAGGGTTCTCCTATTACTGGTCATAAACCTTCGCCGTTACCAAAGCAACCAGTAATGTCGCAATCAGGAGGTCCTCCACCAAGTCCATTCACACCACCAGAAGACAGCAATACTTCATTTCAAATCGGGTAGGTGCCTCATGAAATCAAACATATATAATCAATTAATACAACAATATTTGGTGAAATGGGATTCACAGTAGAACACATTGAAGAGAAATTAAATATTGTTATTTGTAAATAAACACTGGGTATAGTTTGTCAATACTAGAATGGTCAATGTTTTCTGTACAAATGTTCATATTCTGACATATTCTTTAATAAATGAACCAGTAATTCATCTACGTAATGACATTTATTCCCTGTCACTCTTTTCCTGCCTTTGTTACGATCAGTGAATAACCATTTTCTTTGGGTCACAGAAACATTTACAAAATATTATTTTTTTGACCAATCTCAAATTAACAGTCAATGCACTATGCTGCAAAACATGTAAAATACATGGTTTATTTACATGGAATTCAAACGCATGCTGCACGACGACTGAGATCGTCCAATCTTAAAAATCCTTCACAGTGAAAATTTAAAGTTTTAATAATACTAGTACTGTAAAATCTGTATCAAAAGCCGCAGCTTCTATTAAAGTGGTACAATGCAACAGAGGGGATGCGGCTTCTATTAGAGCATCTACACATATGAGAAATGATGAATTTTTGGTTCTCAATTGTTCATAAAGAATGGGTGCGGCTTCTAATACAGATTTTATGGTAACAGCAATCTTGTGTACTTTATTTAGTACTATTTGTGTCTTATTACATTTTTAGTTCTCCACTACCGACACCACTAGAACCAAAACGGCCAGTGTCCGTGATTTCTACGAGTTCCACAGGCTCCAACGATAGCACAGGTAGTGGTGGCAGCGCTGTCACAGAGACCATACTTGAAGCTGATGAAGAACAAGCAGATGAGAATACAGTTCAGCTGGTAAGCAACCAGTCAGTCAGGTCATTCAACTCCATTTTATTATTTTTAAAAAAAAATTTAAATATGTATTATAGTTCTATTGTATGCATAGAATATATACAATGGAAGTAAGCAAATATTGAAAAGAAATATGCAGAAACAATGACTTTGTGGTTTCCCCATAAGTTAATTAAAGGGTGGTAGTCGTCGCGCCACGCATGAGCAAGATATATGGGTCTCGTAAAAACAAAGATGGCGACTTTGGCTGTTGCGCAGATCAACAAGTACAAACTGAGACTTTACCAAGCTTTAATTAGTTATTTTTTAAGTGATTAGAAGGTATCGAGTCTTGCTCAGGTCAAACCTCATACTTGTAATTTCCATTTAGAAGAGCGCATTGGATTGTGGGAAATCAATGTTTATCAACACAAATGTCGCACATGCGCAGCGCGACAACTACCCCTTTAAATTCTACTCTGGTGGCCATATTGTCAAAATACATACAAATTCAAAACTTAGTTTGATCCACAATGTTTTTGCTTGGGAGTTTCAATTATAATGTTAAGTTCCAAGTGTCAGAAAATTCTTGTATCAGAAGGTTTATTCCTTTTCCATGGTAATATTGCATCATACGACCCAGCAATTGGGTTTCCTTATTAAAACTAATGGTCTCACTCTCAAAGTCCATACAAAGGTTACAAAATATGAATAAGTGTTATATTGGATTGAAAAAAAAAACAAGATGCTTTGTGATTACATGCACTGTTATTAACCTTTAAAAAATCAAATCATAATAATTCTCATGCATTTCTGTAATATTCATTACTCGTTATAATATTTTAACTTAATTTTAATTTGTTTTTTTTTTTAATTCTTGACTTATTTTCTTTCATTTAAACTTGCACGTTATTTACAGCGAAACGGTCTGAGAACACCTAGGCGACCAGTCCCTATACTGCCATACCACCAGCGTTATAGCAATTATACTGAGAATATTTACAGTAATTTAATTCTACCACTTCCTTCAACTAACTTTCCCAAGATGTCTGTCACATCTAAAACAAAGGTCTATGGAAAGGTACCCTCGCTTTTTCTTTCTTTTGTTTGCTTTTTTTTTTTAATTAATTTCTTTATTGAGCTTGTTTCATTGGCCGGATTTATTACGTTAATAAGTCTGCTTATAGGCATGATTCCTCGTTTCTCGTCACTATTATCACTACCCATGCACCGTACCTTGATTTAATACCGATTGTTTGCGTAATATCATGACACATGCATGCTTTTTAACCCACCACCTGATTCACATCATGCTAGATTTTGAAAAAAAAAGCACATGCAAGTTTTTTTCTTCCGCGCTCTCACCACTAGTTCCCATGGTTACATCCAATTTAGCACCGTTCATATTGCAATGCATTGGTGATTGCCAATTTCCTAGACCTTCTATTGTAGTTGTCTGATTGCTCCATACAAACTAGACTTTATACCATGCGATGTGTCACTGACGATATACCATGCGATGTGTCACTGACGATAAACCCACTGTGAGAGTACTCGTGCTTAAATTTTGTTTTCAGGTGAAATTGACATGATTTTTGAGTTAAACACAATTTTGCTATACCTTAAACTGAACACCACAAAGTTTGGTTTATAAAGGTTTTTATGTAAGCATGTCTGTGGGAAAATATCCCAAAAATAGTGTATGGTTTTATGCATAGGACTGGAATTATTTTTGTTTTTCTCTCTTTGACAATGTGTACCTATGCAGTGTCATGGGAATACAAGTCAGTGTATCTTCATATGATGGAATGTTGTATGTAGTATCTACATTCTGTCCTTATTAGGAAGTGCAAATTCCAAATATGGAATATTACCTTGTCCCTTATTTCCAATAAAGTTGTATTCATTTTTCAATTTTTTGCTCTGTTCTGGGCTTTTTTTATGCCTAGTGCTTGGGCCGGGAAGACATAGCATACACGGTAATAATTTTACAAGGATATCGCAGAGTATGCACTCAGACAGTACGCAGTCTGATCAATCTCGGCCAATAATATCTGTGCACACAATACAGTATTCTCACAAATACTGTAGAATGCTTTATTTTCACTTGGAATTTATTTTTGCTGTTTTCGTTGAAGGGATGAATCAGTGAAAATAAAATCTAACGAAAATACCCTTTTCCTACAATTTACATTCAAGTCACCAAATCACACTTCATACAAAAAAATGTCTTTCAGAAAAATGTCAGCTATTAAAAATAAAGTGTATTTATATCTGATTACCGGTACACAAATTAGTAGCAACTTCACTGGCAATGTTGCTGTTTTGAATAATATAGTGGTGGCAGTAAAATACAACTGATTATGACCATAGAAACACTTGTTATTTGCGTAAGTGTATGCACTAGTAATAGAGAAAATATGTTAGTCTGATTCCAGAATAAACCAACCTTTGATATGTTTAGAGTGAACAGTCAGCTGAGTCAACTTTTTATTATTGCAAATACCAGTGTAGTTTGAGTGGCTTCATTTTTGGGACTTTCATTATCTGTGACACAGTCCCTCTATGCCTGGTCTGGAAATGGTCATTATATTAGGTGTTAATTGGTCTTCTTCCCTGGCAAAGGCGCGTTGCGGGTATGCGCAAATTATTGTCACGTGATCAGTACACAGTTGGTCACTTATTTTGAATGGTTTGTTTACCTGCAACGCTATTTGAGACAAAAGAACGCTAGTCGTTTCCAGACCGAAGATAGAAGAACTGTGTCTTTGATAATGATGTTTGATTTTATAAAATAGACAAATCACTTTTTTTTTTTTAATAAATAAAAAACTCTCAAATTTTTACATAATCATTTATGGGAAGTTAATTACAGTACATTTCATATTTTCTATGCTTGATAATTTATTCTGTGGGAAGATATTTAAATTTTATGCAGCTATTTCTTTACAATTAATGGACATTTGATACGTGGAGAATTGTTTTGTAAAATGAAAAAATGTAGCAAATTTACTATATTCAACTACATGTATGTTTATAATGTGCCCTCATTTCTTCACAAAACTTACTTCATTTTTTTCAATATTTTATAAATATCACTGAGTAATTACATTTTGTACTTTTACTGGTAAATCTGCCTGCATCACTTGGACACATACTGAACATGTTGCAGTACAACAACTGTGGCACATTTAATTAACCTTTTGAACAACATTGTCAACTTTTGGTGCAATCTACAAAATGATTTTGTGTAGTCTGCTCACCCCCCCCCCCCCCACATGAATCGTTGATATAAATTGACAAATCTTTTGATAAATAACTACGAGGAATGTCTGAAACTGTACATATGGTCCAAAATGATGACGAAATTCAGTGATAAATTTTACAAAACGTGAAAATATGTGCACTGAATTTAGTGGGAAAAATATCTGGTACTCAACAATTTAAGAAAATGAATGATTTTACAATAGTCAGCATTCTAATTTGAATCCTTACACTTACCATGCTAGCTTCTTTATAAAATTTAATGCATACAATTCCTGTGTTTTCACAATTTTCTCAAAACATACAACGAGTATTTTTGTAGTAAAGTTAATTTGCATAAAATATTATTTCACTTTCAAATGATAAGATAGATTTGAATCCAGCATTCTCATAATTGAACATCAGGAAACTATTTCAAACTTTCCAAAAATTATTCCAAGGAAATTGTCGTCGCATACACCGCTCAATTTATCAGGCTCAAAACTGATACAATGTATGGACAGTACTAATGTCATCCAAGGTTTTACCAAATGTAGTTTGTTAATTTTTTTTTGTCATGAAGTCCAGAAATGGACGAGTATGCAACATATCATTTTTATTTTTCTGAATGTTTGTAGTGTGACTATTATCTGTGATGAAAATCTATTGTGTGGTAAGATTTCAATGTCGCAAATGAAAAACCAAATTGACAATGTGCTGGTAAAAGTGTTGCCCAGCACGGTTCCACAGAGCCTGCTCGCCACGGAATGACAAACAATGGCTGTACATGTGAATGATGAAGCATCTAGCAGTGCACAGGGCCAATAAACTTACTATTGACCTCCAAATATCAATATTTAATGTTTTGTTTTGTAAATTCCTTATTAATCCTTTCACAGGATATGAGTGCTCAATCTCCCCCTAAAGTACCAAAACGACCAAGTAGGTTATCTAGGCTATCGAGTGAACCAACAATTAGAAGTTCATCACCAACGACACCTCCTGGTAAAGGTAACTCATTTCACGTCTCTTTCATTGATATTATGGACTTGATAGTTACTTTATGTTCTTTTGATTTTAAAAAGACAAAATGAGTTTCAGCCAAATTAAAAGTGCAATGCAGTAATGGAGAGAACTTCTATTATTGTACCGGAAAATCACTAAATTAAGTATGTAAATTGTTTGAAATGTTTCAAATATTAAGATTTGTATCAGTAATAATATATTACTTTTTCATCCCATGTCACATAACGAAATTTCAAAATAATTTCACCATGGAAACCAAATAAGTGTAAAAATGCTAATTATGACATTTATCACATTTGTTATCTGAAATATTTTTTTTTTGTATTTTTGGCAACTCTTGTCACCATACATAATTTTTAAACCCACATAATTTTGTTCATATTTTTAGCTCCGCTGTCGACTTTGTCGAGCGGAGCTTATCATATGAGTGATTGTCCGCCGTCGTCGTCGTCCGTGTCAATGTTTTACTTTTTCGACTTCTTCTTGAAAACTACAAGCCTGAATGCTTTGATACTTGGTGTATATGTACCTTGGGTA